TTGTAAATTGGTCCTTGGATGTGAATTTTATCAATTTAACCCCTAATTGACCTCAAAACTTGAATTTTCTTGTATTTAATTATGTCCTTGGACTTAATTTTTCACTAATTAAGCTCCAACTAAAATTAATTTGACCCATTTAAAGTATAATTAAGTCTTTGCACTTAATTAAATCCTTTAATTGAACTCAAATTAATTCTTAAACATAATTAAAATATAATTTAGCCCATGATTAAATCAAATTGGCCTATTAAAAATTTAATTATATCATTGGACTTAATTTTTATGTAAATTCATCCAATAATCATTTAATTTGACCTTAAATTTGTATTTTTTATCCGTTCTTGGGGATAATGAGGTACAATTAGACCTTGAATTTTCTTTAAAAATTACAGCTTGATTTTCCGGCCTGGTTTCTCCAAGTTGCAAATTATTATTTTAAAAAATAAATAAATTTTTAGAGAATAATCCGAATTGGATTATAACACCAAAAAAAAAAAAATGAAGAGAAAAGGAGAATTGGATTATAACACCAAAAAAAAAAAAGAAAAAAAATGAAGAGAGAAGGAAAAAAATAAAAAATAAGTCATTACGCATTTCCAACGTGTACACACCGTCACATTAAAAAGCTCTTGTTGAGAGAAATTCAACGTTATGATAGAAAATCACGTTCCTCCACTGTAGCTTGTTACACACACAAAAAGAGTACAATAAAAATCCTACTACACCAAGTTACCATCACTATTTATTCTAATTCACTTTATTAATTTTAATTTTAATTTTAATTTCTAAACTCTTAATTATTTTATAAAAAACATAATTTTATTTTATTTCACCAAATCAAACATCAACTAAAACATCAAAATTTTCATAAGACATCACGACAACCTAATAGCCACTTTCAGCTGCCATGACTGTATTTGCCTTGCAGGCTGCACGGTCTCCAAGTTCCTTATTTGGAAACCCTAAAAACAAGGAAAGGAAATCACTTTTTCCCCCCTCTGCCTTATGTTTTGCATTGTCCCTTTTCATTGGTGACACGTGGTGTCACGTCCAAAATGCTTCGTTAAAGTGACAGGCAGAGCCTCTATCATTTTATTAAATGACAACGATGTCCTCGCCCAACAAAAGGAGCATGGAATTTCTGCAGGGGTGCGAAAGGAAAACAACATGGTAGGAGGTATGCTTTATAGACTAAAATTAATGATGTTTAGTCGAATGTTAATTAAACATGTTGAGTTCAATATACTGTATCAATAGTTATATCCTAAGAATAATGTTTTAAAACAAAATCAATATAACAAGTCAGTACGAGGAATGTGTTCTTAAGATCATCATGGAAATTTTTAGTCTTAATTAATATGTATATTAGCACGTTAAATAAAAAGTGTCTATATAAAATCAGATCAATAATTAATAGAAGGCTCAACCACTCATCATTATTGGTCATTTATTATATAAACAATAAAGCTATCATGTATATAATAATTTGTCATGTACATAAAGAAAAAAAATTATAGTTGAAAAATAAAGGAGATGTTTTGAATAATTAAAAGAGTTGGATCTCTTCTCCATTATTAGGGTTTAAATAAGATTAAAAGAAACATTTTAGAAATTAATATTTTAAAATATCTTATTAAGAAAACTCTATAACCTTTTCTAATAAGTTGTTGCATAATAAAATTTAGCTATGCTTGTTAATTTGGTTTACTAAAAGGCAAGTCACTAGTAGAATAATCAATATATTTATAAATAAAAAACTATATTCATCCGAAATAATATAATTTGATATTTAAATTCAAATAACCAATGATATATAATAGAGTATCATCAAGCCAAATTTATCAAGTTTAGCTAATAATATTAGTTTGTATAATTTATGTCTAAATAAAAGTATTTAAAGTAGAACATAATTTATTAACAAACACTAATAGAGCTAAGAAATCAATTTTTCATTTTATGATGAATTTATTCACACAAAATTATATTGTGGATTTCGTATAATGCTTCTTCTTTTTTTTTTTTCATTTTTAGTTATGTAGTTTTCTTTATCCTTACACATTGATTTTATTTAAAATTTGCATTGTTGTTTTATTTTAATGGGCTTGATGTTTGGTTCTCGTGAAGTCATAAAAGATCTCATCAATGGGATGGCGCTCGATTTCACAAAAAAAATATTTTGTTTTTATTTTTCAAATGATTGAAAATAAAGGAACTATAATTAAAAGTATGGAAACAAATACATATAGACAATTTTTGTCCTTAAAGGAAAGGAGAAAAAATCAGGCATGGAGACCGAGGAGAGGAGAGAGAGAGAGAAAAACAAGAAGAATTTAAATAGTATGAAGTATATTTGCTTTATTAAATCATTTTAGTTCTCAATACTATAATCATTGATTCTTTAAATAAAATTTAAAATTCTTTTCAAATCTCATTCCACATTGATAATGGATTTCACAATCAATACTATTTGAAAAAAAAAACATTTTATTTAGTTAACCTAGGATAATGAATCATCTCTTAATTACTCAAATACCTTCATATAGTTTATTTTATATCCAATATTAGTCTATTTGTTACCATTGATTAGAACAACATGTGGTTAAGAACTAAGTATAACACTCCTTATATAAGATAACTTAATGATTTCAAGTCTAAAAATCACTTGTCTAACTATCACATGAGTTTTTCTATAGACATAGGTGATCTCTCTGCATAGAATTATCTTGCAGGTCAGTTTAGTGCGCATATATCTAACAAGTACCTGTATGTTAATTTCAAGTATTCCTCTTATCGTAGTTTATGAGAGCAATTGCTTTATTTCATTAAAAGAAATAAGCATATTATGCATCAGTCTTAATAACTCTAGTTAATATATAGTCATAATAGAATATTGACCAAGAATATTTAGAAATAATATTTTGATACAACAGAAATCTCATAATTATAACAACTTTATAATTTTCTAAGCAAAGCATTTTTGTTCCACAAACTTTATCTTTACTCTAGATTCATTAATTAAATATAAATAAATATTAATAATAAAGAAAGTCGTTATTCATAATAAATAATTATACTTTCACTAACATAAGTCATATTAGAGCTTCCTCACCACTATGTAATGCTATACAAGAAAGCTCTTATCAAAATGATTTTAATGACAGCAAGAAAGACTGTCATCAAAGCTTGAAGAAGGTTGCACATGCCTTCCCAACATGTCAGCTTTGCTCTTTATTTAATTCAATCTTTGATTCTCTCATAACTTATTAATTTAATCCTGAATTTCATCCCACGAGAGCCCATTGAAGGCTCAACAAAGAAGGGAGAATGAAAATGAAAGGAAAGAGCCCAACCATGTTAGTTCATCGTGCGTAGTTAATGTCTATAATCTAAGTCATGAGTTGGTGGGTTAGCTTGGGTTTACTTGATTCGATCAAATATGCATAGTCTCAATATTTTTTTTTAAAAAAATCATATCTTTAATTATTATTTTTTTAAGTGAAACCATATTTTTATTGGTTTTTTAGGTTGCATTTAGATTTGTCAAGTCTATGAGGTTACATCATGCCATCTCTTACATGATTTAATTTTAAGTTCGGGCTAGGTAAAGGGTTATACTAGAGGTTTCAAGGTTAACCTATAAGGTCTAGTATAATAAAATTGTCAAAAAATTTCTCATGGCCTAGATTTTTTTAAAAAAGTTCAAATAAAAATCACTTAATTTTTTTTTTGTCAAATCGTATTTCAACCAAATCAACTTGGTATGTTATGAATTTACATCTATTTTTTCAATAAAATAATTATACTTGGTGGGTTAGTTTGAGTTTACCCGAGTCGATCCAATATGTATAGCCTTAATATTTTTTTTTTAAAAATAATATATTTAATTATTATTTTTTTAGGTGAAACCATATTTTTATTGGTTTTCTAGGTTACATTTAGATCTGTCAAGTCTACAAGGTCATGTCAAGTCATCTCTTATATAATTTAATTTTAAATTCGGGCTAGGCAAGGGCTTATGCTAGAGATTTCAATGTTAACCCATGGAGTCTAGTTTAATAAAACTGTCAAAAAATTTCTCATGGCCTAGATATTTTTTAAAAAGTTCAAATAAACATCACTTACTTTTATTTTTCTTTGTCAAATCGTGTTTCAACTAAATCAACTTGGTATGTTATGAATTTACATTTATTTTTTTAATAAAATAATTATACTCATGATATTATTGATATCTCAAACTCATTCAAACGGTGAAAAGTTAAAAGAATTTAAAACTTAACATATACTAAACGAAATAATAACTATATGTATAAGAAGTTTTATGATCTCAAATCTTTATGTATATAATTAATATAATACATAAAATTTGATAATGAATGTTGTACCTTTATGAATTTGTAGTTTATTTTTAATGTAGATATTATAATTTGTATAAAGATAAAGATCATACATTTGTTAGTTTATTGCAAGTGGGTACATTATTCACCAATTTAATTAAGAGCATAATTGGAGACTATTATTGTTTTTTATTCCCCACGCAAAACATGATTAGTCAAAATTTGATTGGGAGTGAGCTGGTCCTTCTTACGGACAATGACAGCCTTCTGTTGCTTTAGCACCCACTCCGAAACCTTAAAAAAGCCACTTTGGGACATTGGGGGACACAATGGCCATTCCATAAAAATAAAGGACAGGTTTCCACTTCCCCAGGAGGTTTATTTATACATTTCCTCTTCTCTCTCAAAAAAAAAAAAAAAACCAATTATAAAATAAAATTCCCGAAATAGGAACTACGGTATACGTATCCGTATACCACACGCGTCAACGATCTATACGTTAGACGGCTCTATTTATTTTTTTAAAGTCTCTCAGCTTCTAACAGGACCACCTGACCCAAAAAACAGAAAAATCCACTAGCTGTTTATGCACAAGACCAGTGGTTTTTTTAGGTTTTAAGAATGTGAACTTCCTAAAATACACTTGCCTTATATAGCTTCTTTGATGATGTACCCTCCTCGCCCAAGAGCGACGTCTCTGAAACCTCACCTTGTCTCCATTAACACCCTCTCTTCTTGAAGTAAGCTTTTTTCTCTTTCTCTCTCCCTCTCTTTTTTTCCCTTCTCCTTTCTTCGAAGTTTTTTTTTCCGCTTAATTAATTTTTCTATCACAACACACATAACAAAAATATGATGGATCACCATCTCTTCCTTGCTTTTTGTTGTTGATTATTGTCTTATGACTTTACTATTAGGGTTCTTTGGAAGGGAAAAAAATGGGGAGGGGGAAGATAGAGATAAGAAGGATTGATAATTCGACAAGCAGGCAAGTGACCTTCTCAAAGAGGAGGAGTGGGTTGTTGAAGAAAGCCAAGGAGCTGGCGATCCTTTGCGACGCAGAAGTTGGAGTCATGATCTTCTCTAGCACCGGCAAGCTCTATGATTTCTCTAGCACCAGGTCAATTTTTAAGATCTCTTTGATATATTCTTGTAGTTTCCTCTTCCACTTTTATCAATATCATCATCATCATCTCTTCAATATTATCTACATCATGATCTTATACTATGTATATTAATGTTGTTATTTTTTTTTTTTTGGCTATAATGCAATGCTTTTATCATCATCTGTACCTTTGATTTGTGTGCTTGATTAAGTTAGCTTCTTATGGTTGTGATTTTATGAAGTTGTTTGACGTATTGATCCAAAAGTTTTGTTGGTAACTATCATCATGCAACTTGTGATGTGTGCAATAATAGGGCCTCTTTTGTTTTCTCTTGAAGGTTTTTTTTTTTTTTTCTATTTTCAATGTAAGTGTTCGAGCATAAGAGATGTTAATGTTGCTTAAATAGAGCACCACACAGCAGCTAGCACTAGAAATTTGAAATGTTTTTAGTTGGAAGTTTCATCCAAGATATAATTAACGATCCCCTTCGTATCAAGTGTTTTAGAGTCGGCATTAATTGCTGTATTTTCCCTGGAGACAGATCAATACAACTCTTCCCGTGGCAAAAAAATAAAAACTCACCGTGTTGTTGCATTTTTAGGACGCTTTTAAGTTCAAATCCGAGTTCTTAATTATGAGGAAGCTGAGTCTTCTTAATTTTAGGTTTTTCTTCTGGGGATTTGCTAAGTTTCCACAAGTCCTATTCTTCGATGTGCATGATCATCTATAAATGTATAAAGCAGAAAACTTTCTTTGCTCACAAATGTAGTAAAACTTTATAGCCCTAAATTGGTTTCCTAGCAATTACATCAGTTTTTTCGATATTAACAATTAATTAGTTAAACTAGCGACTCCTACATTTTCCAACTAACCCTACGTTCTCCATTTGTTGATCGAGCAAATTAATACCTGCCTAATTAAGCTTTTCTCATAGTGAAAAGAGCATATATATATATATAGAATAGACTTAAATTAGGTTAGCTCCCTCGTTGAGGAGACAAATAGTTGGGGCTGATTATTACAAGTGGGTGTTGGTTCGGGCACTAAGCGTAAACTTTAGAGAGATTTGGTTTAGGTTTATGTATGTTTTAGAGTTTGGTTGGACTACTTATTACCTAGCCAGTCTTCCTAGAGAACCAGCACTCATCATGGTTTAGAACTAGTTATGAAATAACGGTAGATCAGATGGACTTGTGATCCAAATGATGAGGAAATTTCGCCAGATCTCATACAAAAGATTCTATTTTACAGAATAAAAGCAGAATTAAGAACACCATATATATTACGCTGGTTCATTTAGGATTTACGTAACTGTAATCTGGATATACAAGTGATGTGGTCTCGAATGAAATAGCTTTCGATCGACGATGCAAATATATATTCACAATATATATATATATAGTTCTAGCAGATCGAGTTGACAATTTAGCTGGAATAAATGGTGACTAATAAACACACATTAAAGGAGAAGTTGTGTTGTAAGTGAAAGAGATTCGCCTTGAGTTAATAAGGGGCATATGAAATATCCCAAATAACTATTAATTAGAATGATTAAAATGATATATAAATAATTATAAATGGATACGCGGTTTAAACTTTTAATAAATTCAAACAGTATCACACACACACTTCAATAAAGATTTCCCAGCCTCACCAGAATTAATACAATGTAGAGAGATAGAGATCTAATTAATTAATAATGGTAAGAAAGGTACGTTGCCTAAAAAATTTGAGTAGGAAAGCGGTCAGGTGGTACTTATTGTAATATCTAAGTAATTGGGAATAGAGGAATCCTTTATACACACAAACGCTATATTCCTAATAATCTAGCGTGAGAGGTCGATAAAAACTGAAGGGTGGCAGAATTGATTCAGTCGATACAAATTAGTTTTAGAAGCCAGGTTTAGCTGTACAAAAAACACTAAAATGTCATGCTGAATCTTTCTTCTGCATGAATGATATATATTTTCATCCACAAAGGTTAGTAATATATATATATATATATATATATCAATGGATAGATCAATCCAAGGAAAAAACACGCGCAAATGAATCCCTATATTGCAAGAATATTGGTAGCCTAAATATATAAATCTAACTAGTGTTGGCTAAAACCCCTAATGATATTGCAAATGGACACCTAGCTTATAAAAGCTTCATATAAAGTACTAAGCATTAGTATTAGTTAACAAACATCAATTATACATTTCTTAATTAATTCATAGTAAAGTTGCAGTCTCCGACTGGTATGGGCAATGCATGAACCTTCCCTCCATTGTCTTTCTTTAATTACCAAGGACTGGAGTTTAAGTGCTTGTGCTTTTACCATCAAAAAGAAAAAAAATTTAAAAATATTCAAATTAAATATTTTTTTATGAGTTTTGATAGTTTTGATATGTTGTTATTAGAAAAAGGCATCTCTTCTTCTTTATTTATTCTTTCATCCGCCTTTCTTTCAACTAGTAGTGAGCTTTTAACATTTTCCTTGACGAGAACACTCTTAGTAGATTTTCACTCCTTGATAGATAGATTTTTTGGGTTCAAAATAAATTTTAAAAAATAAAAAGAATATTAATTTAATATATTTTAAAATAAAAAATATTTTAAAAAATAACCGCTATTAAAATCTTAAATGTTAGCTATATATATGGTCCAACTTCTAAGTCATATGATGTTTGTGAAATGTTTAGTAACTCTACGTATTATAGTACATGGCTTTCTAATTAAGAGGATAAATCCACTTATATATTTTTATGTTTTTCGGTCATGTTAAATCATGTATTCTTTAATATATAAATATTTTAAAACTAAAAATATTTTTGTATGCTATTTTTTGCATAAACTTTTTTATTGTAAATTTGAAGAACAATACTTTTTAGTGTTTTACATTGTTTTTAACCTAAAACAATTTAAAACTCTTAACTAACCTTCTTCTTTCTTTCTTTTTTTCTTTCTTTTCTTAATTAAAGTTCATTATAAATAATGATTAAACTAAAATTATAATTAATATTCTTAAAACAGATTAAGATGTGATTAAGGAATAGTTGAAATACGTACATGTGGATAAATTGACAAATTGTTTATATGCTCTTCTTGTATTCTAGCTAGGAAAATAAGAGAGTGATGATAAGTCAGCATATGCCCTAACTTGCAACTTATTAATTACATGGATTTAAAAGAATCATACGCAATGCAATATCAACTTTACGTGGATATATGTGTTTTATAACAGAATTAAAATATACAACCAACTTCATTGCATCATCAAAGTACAATGTACCTTCCAATCTTTCATGCTACGTACAAATTGCCTTGATAATCGATCACTTTAAAGTAGACACAAAGAACAGGCTTGTGTGAAAATGTGTGTGTGTTAATTAGCTTGTCTAAGCCTTGCATGACGTTAATCAACTCTTGATTTTAATCCTATATTCAAAAACTTTAAATTAAAGATAAAACTGGATCAAGGTTTGGCATGATGGTGAAATGATGCATTTAAACCTAAATCATAAATTAAGGATATAATTATAGAACCGTTGAGAGAGAGAGATTAGGATACGAAGATAGGCACATGCATGCATCCATAGATTTAATAAAATTCGCAAGATATATAAATGCAATCAAAACATATTCTGAACGACACCAACGTCAGGGAGATCCTGAGTGAGTTCCAACTTGGAATCTCAAAAATCCTTAATATTAATTAACGACGAACTCTTTTCCTTCCGCCTTTCATCTGCTGAATTTTCTTGGGGTTCTGTCAACAATGAGCAATTCTTTAGAAATCAATAGTGGAGAATCATAATGTATTGCAGCATGCCATCTAATTAGCCATTGATTTCCCTTGAATGCAGCACAATATCAATATACAGATGCTACTGATCATGTGAAGAATAATTAATCGTTACGCTGGTGGGCCACAAACAGAGAGATTAGGTTATAATAATTAATGGATCTTAATTTGTTCAGCTACGTGCATTAGATTGTGAAATTGCAAAATATTGCACTATTTCTGAGCTATCAATGATTTACATACACTTCAAATTTCTTTTCGATCCACTATGTATATATCTGCCTCGCTACTTTTCTTTTTCTTTGCCACTTTTGAATCCATTTTTTGGTTGAGCGAGGAGGACGATAGCGTGTTGCGATTTACTAATCCCCTGCTACGTACAAGTGCTGTATTAGTAGTCGACACGCTACTTAATCCCCTTGTTAATGTTTTCTCAACATGCTTATTTTCCCTTCTTCAAGAATAACAATTAAAACAACAAATCTACTTAGGGTCAAAACCCACTAAACCAGTAGGCCAACAGCTAGCTATGACCTAAGGTGGAACGATACCTTTTTAGAGGGAGACCAAACCAACAAAGCCTAGAAGCAAAATACTAGCTAGTTAGAGTTTTTTTAAGGCAGAATTGTATAATTATTAATTTTAATTGTAATATTTATAAAATTAATTGAAAATATATATTTATATTAATAAAAAATTAACAGAAAATTTAATTATTAGTTATTAATTATAATATTTATAAAATTAGTTAAAATACAAGCTAACTTTAATATTTATATTAATAAAAAAAAATTCTAGATAATATGATACAGATACATTATGTAAGAGTCAAATTTAGTAGCCTATAAACTCCAGACAAAAATTCAGATTCAATGCAAAAAAACTCCCCCATAAAAACATAGTTTTTAATGTGCAGCGACAGAGCCGCGACATTAAATTTGAAAGAGCCAAATTAGAAACAAAACTTTAGAAGGGGTAAAAGTTAAAACTTACTAATTTTAGGGTTATAATTTATAATTATTCAAGGGAGGAGGGGGGGAAATAATATTTGCAACTTCCTAACTCCATCCCTGTTGGCAAAAAAAATAACAAAATTTATTGCAAATTAAAACTTAAAAAAAAAACATAATTATAAAACACATAAAATATTTAATCTATATTCATTCAAGTCTCGTTCCAAGTTAATTTTAGAACAGTTTTGTGATAATAAAACTAACCAGT